AGAAGACGATCGTGAGCTCCGAACTGAAATATCACAGTAAATCAGTCCAGATGACCTCTGAAAGAGCGAAGAGGAATGGCCTTCCGGCTCTAACACAGGATTAGCCGACCACAAGCCAGGGATACCTTTTTTTGATGACACTCGCGGGCTCCTTAGGGCCTGAATAATGTTCCTTGTCTCTGTGCCTCTTTGGGGAATAGCTTCGAGAAGAGCAGAAAGTATGAAGCATCGGTAAGCCTTCTATAACGGTTTCGCATGGACTGTGGGCCTTCTTGCATAGCATAGCTAGTCGAACTATATTAACGAAGTGGGGTGCAAAAGAGCGGGAACGATGAAGGGTGAAATGAGGGCGAGAAGAATGAAAGAAAGAGAGGACAAAAAGTGGCGTAGTCTTCCATAGTATGGTTAGGCTAGAGAATGAGAAATCGAGATGATATAGAAAGGGAGCGATTCCCGGGTAAGGATGATTAAAAGGAAGGGGGGAAGGCCCGGAGCTTACTGTTTTCTACTTTGCGCCTTTATTGCATAGCTGCCTCATTTTCTATCTCTCTCAGTTTCTGTCCCACGATCACGGCGAACTGATTTCTCTGGCAGACAAACCTTTCGGGAAAGGCGCAGGGAACACAAAATGCAGACATGTGAATGGGACAAAGTGTCCTGCCCCATTGGCTTGTCAGCACGCGGGCTATTTACACTGTACCAAGAAAACATTATTAATAATGGACTCGTCCAATCTTGTACCTTAGTATGGTGATGATAAATGGTGTTTTTTAGTGCAAGTGCCAATGTTGGCTGATTTCATAGTTTGATACATTGGGTTTAACGTCCCAAAACTACCATATGATTATGAGAAACGCGGTAGTGAAGGGCTCCGGAAGTTTTGAACACCTGAGATTCTTTAATGTGTACCCAAATCTGAGCACATAGGCCCACAGCATTTTCGCCTCCATTGAAAATGGAGCCGACGCAGCCGGGATTCGATCCCACGACCTGCGGGTCAGCAGCCGAGTACCTTAGTCACTAGACTGCGGCGGGGTAGGGCCAATGGTGGACAAAGCACGCTAGGACATGATGGAATGCGTGTACAATGTTTATGTAAGATTACTGTAAAACGGTCTTAAAAGCTTGCACACCAGGTGTGCAAAAAATACATATAATGGTTAAAAAAAGAGAATGAGAGTGACTTGAAAGCAGTACATTTGGTTAAAAGCGGTATAGTGCATGAAGTGTATAGCAAGAAGGTGAAGATATACTAGACACCACTGCCTCACAGAGCCCCTTGCGAGCAAGAAGTCGGAGGCTTAGTGCATTAAACATAGAACTTTCGCAGCAGCACTCTCTCGCAGACGATGTGCTACGATTTTCACGAGAAAACTATTTTAGTGCACCAACCTCGTTCAGAATGACAGCACCAATTTTTCAATAAATATTGAGTCAATACCTAAAATAATGCTGGGTGAAGAGAAATGTGCTCTTCATAGGCTTCAAAAAGTGTTTTCGTTTTTTCAGGTTCCACCTCTCTGCATTGCAGAACCACGTGAAGTACACCCAGTGCTCTCCCACATTTATCTCAGGTCGATGGTTCTCCACCAGTCAATAGGTAACTATGGATTCTATAGGTGTGTCCTATGCTCAGTCTAGAAAGTAGGACTTCAGCTCGTCTGGCTTTTGTGGTGGATGGCGAGTTACCTAACCGTGGTTTCATAGTGTGAAGTTTGTTGTTAGTTTGGACAATAGGGGCACATCGTCTTTTTGCTTTCCTTGAATGAGATATTTTTTTGTATTTGAGAAGAATGATTTTGTTTTTCATTTTATATGTAAAGCATGCTATAGAATATGTGATGTACATGCCTTCACAGTTTGGGCGGTGAAGTGGATTGTCACAGGTTTCATTGAACTGTTTGTGGTTTCCGCACTTAGTGCAGGTCAGTCGACCTCTATAACTCTGTAAGCCAAGGCCAAAGTGTTGACATTTAAAACATCTACGTAGATGTGGAACATAGGGTCTTACTTTTGTTGCCGTGTACCCAGTTTCAAGAGAACATGTCCGGACAGTGGAAGTTAAGGTGACGATCAGAACTTTTGTGGTAATTTTGTTGTTCTCTCGTTTAATCTTAATTCTTTCTACTAGGATTACATCGTGGTCCTTCCGTATTTTAAGCAGCTCTTCCACACTCAGGTTTAGGAGGTCGTCGTCAGAGATCGCTCCTTGGGTAGTGTTCATTCATCAATGTGGGGTCATTGTGATTGCAAACGTGCCAAATGCAACTATGAGTGAAAGCTTTCTGTACTGATCCCTGTTGTGCACTCCAAGGAGCAGCTCTCCGCAAGGTATTTTAGAGGCCGTTTTCTGACAGACTTTCCTGTATCTGCGCAGTGAATGACATGAAAGCGAGGAAAAGTTTTCTTTAGGCTTCACAAAAAAAGCTATGCGTTTCATCGTTGCATATTATTTTCCCGAGAGCATGATCAAGGAGTTTCGGAAATGCAATAAAGGTCATAAATGCACGATTATAATCGTTTGCCACGCCAACCACCCACCACCAAGCCCAACATGAAGATGCTGTGACACGTCATGAGAGCACAGACGCCTGTTGTACACAGTCACTATTATATAATAATCCCAAGGAAAGACATATACACTAGGTTAACTCTCGCCGCCACGGAAAACGGAAGTGAACAGAAGAGAGTAGCGGACAGGAAATATATGAAGTATGAGCGCAATATAAAGATGCATCGAGATGAAGATAGCAAAAGGTGACTGCCGATTTCCTCCAGGTGGGTAAGCCCAGGGGTGCCCTCTACGTGAAGCTGGGGCCAATGGGGTGTGTTGCATCCACCAGGGGCCTCAAAGGTCCAATCACCTGGCATTGGCTCAAGCCCCAGATTCCCCCTTTCCCCGGACAAGGCAATGCCACACACGACTAAGCGTGGGAGTTAGTTGAAACTCCCTGTTAGACCGTTAGTAGGGTCCGTAGTGTTGCTACACAATAAACGCCTGCTTAAGCGAACGCTTCTGTGGGGGTGTACCTTAGTAAATATCTTCGTTTTGAAATTTGGTTGATGGTAAGGTCCGCCACATCCATAACTAAATCGATGCCTCTTTTAGGGGTGAAACTCCTAAAGGCGTGGGTCTGTACATCCCTTGTATGTATGTATGTATGTATGTATGTATGTATGTATGTATGTATGTATGTATGTATGTATGTATGTATGTATGTATGTATGTATGTATGTATGTATGTATGTATGTATGTATGTATGTATGTATGTATGTACGTATGTATGTACGTGACCGCCTGCCTACAGTTCCACCTTAGCCAACTTCCCAATGCTTCGTCCTTGCGAACATCCCACTACGCCTCATCACCGATCCACCACTTCACCGACCATAAAGCAAATACTGTTGAGAAGTAGTCAATAGAAAATGCAAGATGATCGCGTACTTGTATGCAGATGCGCATTGAAAAACCCTAGATTGCCCTATTGAGTCAATTCTTTGTTTGTACGTGACAGCCCATAGTTCCACCTTTGCAAACTGCCTACAACTTCGTCCTTGCAAATATCCCACGACGCCCCATCACCAATGCACCTCTTCACCGATCATAAAGCCGTTATAATGAATAAGGAAAGGAGCGACGTATAGCTATCACTTACTACTAATAAAATTTCTTGTATAGATAAATATAGTGTTGTCACATCATTGATGATGTAGTGGGTGATATTCGGAGATGGTTCACGCTTTAGCGATGAAACCCTCCAGCGCTTCGCCCCACTCATCATCGTTCACTTCATGGATATGCTGTGATTTTTTTAGGAATGACACGATTTCAAATACTATTTTATATTTACCATACCAACGTTACTCTTACCTACCGTACTAACATTCTCTAAACACTTGGAAAAAGAACCCATTCATGTAGGTCAAGGGCGTGTGATGAAGGGAGAGTAATCCTGTTGTTATGGACGTGATAGATACAAAATACCTTGAAAACCAACTTTGTTTTTGCTGCTTAGGAAAAAGCGAAAACGCCAGAGCTAGAAGTTTCACTCCCATGATAACGGGAAATTATATTCTACAACACAAGCAAATAAAAAAACAGAAACAACAAAAACTTCCCAGGGTACCTCGTTCACTCGCCAAGACAACTGGTAGGTGAAATTTGTCTTATTTTTCTTCAAAGTATAATTATTTATCCTTCCCCTCCACCCTGTGATAGCTTTTTGAATCTAACGTGGCTTTACAATTTCTTAGGGATCTGAAGCGCCTCTCATAATTTTGTACAGCCTTCGTGATGGGTCCAACTTCAAACACACTACGATGCCATGTGACGATGTCATATGCCATTACGTGACGTCACTGTTACGTTGGGATAGTATCCAAACAAAGTGACAAATTTCGCCGATCTGTGACATCATAATGGCGCCATATAGTAACATAATCCCATGATGATGATATTTTGCATAACTGATGCGGACGCCGTGGTCTTGGTACACCGGTCAGTTTTCACATATGAAGAGGGATCTAAGACATTCGCGTTAACGTGTAATACTAATGAAATTAGTGCGTACTCTCACACTAGAGTTGAGTGAATGAAATGCTAAATGTGCTAATAGTAAATGAACGATCATCAATTCAAATGTTTTATTGAATCAAATAAAACTCATTTGAATCTTTCGAAGTTCAGGAAATGGTAGTAAATATTCCTAAAATCACTCAGATTAGGTTTTCGCAATACTACAGCTGCTTATAAACCAAACAATCTCTGCAGTTTCTGAATGTTTTGCATCATCTCTTAAAGTTTTTGTGCATCGCAATTTTTTCGCGAAAGAAATCTACACTTTGTCGTTTTGGTTGAAATTAGCTGGATTTTGAAGTACATTATCTATAGCCTTTTTCAACAAATGGTGCTTTAAATAAGGAGGCTGAATTTCCAACGTTAGAAGCGATGTTTGTTAGAGGGTGGTTTAAGTAAAATAAGGTGAATGTGCGCACTTACCACTCGTTTAACAGTTTCACACCCGTGTTCAATTCGAGGTTCCTCACTTGTGCTGGAATTTAGCTGTGTTGTGACTACGTCTGTCTCTTGCTTTTCACTTCCAACCAGGGTATCTGTCACAGTAGCAAATGACGGATAAAACAGCTCACTCAAGTTCTTTTGATCAATTTCACTGTAGAATTAGTGTGTCATTTTAGGCTTTCTCTTCTCTTACTACAAGCGCATAGCTTTGTTGGCAGCCCTCAATATCAGAACTGGCAGCCCTCATTGGAAATGCATTCGGGTGCGCTCAAAACTACGTTCTATCGGCTTGTGAAAACTTCTGACAGCATCCCGGATGACTTCTCGTACTTTTTATTGTGCGTAATTTCTTTCGCAGAGCCATGCTGTTTAGACGCTTAGGCAGACGCACTGCTGAAGAGAAAGTGGACCAGCAAATTATGCCTAGTGTGCAAAGACGGGGAAAAGGAGTGAAGGAACCCGCAATGGCCACCTAGCAACTCACTGAAAAAAAATTGTAATGTCAAAGGACAAAAAAAAAGCGTTTACCCATTCATCTTAGTGAAAAGTTAGGCTGTCTCGCTTCTGTTTGATACAGGACCGTGTTGTGGAATTTCAATGGAAGAACCATCACATTTTTTTCGCAATCGTTTGCATTTTGAAAGCTACCTCAGTGCAGCTTTCCGGCTATTCTGTGCAAAAGAGTAAGAGATCTAAATTTCATCAGTTCAGCTGTGCTCCTAGACATTATCGCCTGCATTTTTTTCAAGCTGTGTCGTTGAGTATTGTTTTGCTGTAACCTCAATTTGTATTGGGGTACCCCAGACGAAGGCCCAAGGTACATCACTTTAGAGCAATACGCCAACTTATTACATGCTTCTATTGTAAAATGCGTTATGTTCTAAGTAGGAAGAAATGTCTGACAATCAGCTTCGACTTCCCAAAGGATTTAAATAGAGAGAAAAGCTTTGTTAATTCGTTTCACCTGCCACGAACAAGCTGCTATGGTCGCCCGTAAGGCATCGCTAGAAGTGCAAGCTATGCGGCAGAGGATTGATGGTGATGATGATTTGTGATGATTTATGGCGTGAGGGCCAATTGATGGCCAAAGAGCACCATTTCATAAGACAAAAGTTGTGAACAATGATAAGATGAGTGGCTGTATAGGGGTCTTAAAATTATTCACGGTAACACGGGTAAAAACATAGAAGCATTAAAATCATGACAGTGGCGTGGAATAAGAACACTGAGAGTGAATGGCGAAAGATCGTGATCAGGAAACCATGATGTAGGTGTAGCCACCGCAGGCGCGACCTCGGTACAGAGGTCTGGCTACGAATCACCTCAGAATATGGAGTGAAACCTATTTCTATCTTCAAAAAACGTAAAGAGTAGTTGAAGTTTAAAAATGAGCCTATTACCGATGAGAATGACAAGGTGTAGTGGGAGCTGTGGTTGCTGGGGTAATGAAGAGTGCTTTTTTCTTAGAGCATCTGACTCGTTGCACTGAACATCGATGTAGAGAACCATAAGTGGTTCTCAACATCTCTCAAACAATGGTGGATCACCAGCAGACAGAAGATATGAGTGTGTAGAGTATGTATGTCCTGTTCTTAGCCTTGTAAGGGTTCTGTGTGTTGTCATTTCGATAGTGGCGGCCAATAATAGCATGGATTTTATTGCCTGTGTGTCTATACCCCGTGTTCTACCGATAGTTACCTGAACTTTCGTTTTAGAAAGGTTTTATGTCAAGTGCATGCAGAGATTGGTATTGATACATTAGCGGCGGTGTCGTTGGCGGATGCAGCCAGCAGAGCCGTCAGAACGTTTCCCTATACCCAGCAGCTTCCAACATGCTATTTAAATGAGTAGATCGAGCATAACAGTTAATAAAGGGAGACAAGAACTGGACTTTGTACATTATAAGAGCTTTTAGGGCTTTCACCATACTTGAATATTCCGCGAACATTACTGCCTTTTGTAGTTTATGTGTGCAATGTGTTCAACAGCCGCAAGTATTACGTAGGCTTCTCCTGTGAAAATGCTTGGATCAGTAAGTTGGAGGCCAGCATTTGAAAAGAATTGGCCGAACGCTGCGTACGAAACAAGTGTTGGACTTTGAAGAGCTCAGAACATGTGTACTTATGTTGTAGTTCTAAAAAGTATGTGCGCATATGTACCATGGGTACGTGCTTTGTAATCTCTAAAGAAGACACATCACAATCTATCGTTTACCGCTGCTTGGTGCGGGAGATGCTGCGGGAGCTATGAAACGATGTTCAAGTGACACACCGGTTTCCTCAGAAAGGGCCCTGACACGAATTGAATAGTTATGTCTCAAAGATGGCTGGTTTTCAAGCAGAAAAAAAACTGGATATGTAGTAATTGTGAAAAGTGAAGGGTGGTCGTTGTCTGCCTTCACTTTGGGATAATATAAAAAAGACATGTAACATCTCTGTAGGTGGAGTGACCATTTGTTAGATTCTACGTGCATGCTTTCAAGGGGGCTGGTTTGAAAGGCAACCGTAGAGAGGCGAATGCCTAGGTGGTGAATAGGGCCAAGCATCTTCAGGACGGTAGGTGCCGCAGACTCATAGGTTATGGCTCCATGGTCAAGGCGAGTGCGTACGAGGCTTTTATACAAGTTCATGAGACACTTGTTGTCACCTTCCCACGTAGTGCATGGTAACACTTTTCGAATGTTCATGGCTTTGATGCACTTTGTTTTTAGATACTAGATGACTGGTACGAAGGTTAGCTTGGTGTCCAAGATTAGGCTTAAGATATGTGTGTTCGGCATTACCAGAGAGACATTGATCTTGCAATTGAATGCCAGATTTGCGATAAGTGCCTCTCTTTCTGGATAACAAGACACAAGTGCTTTTTTTCGGGTTCCATCAGAACTTGTTTTCTTTTGCCCATTTAGAGACCTTGTTCAAGCTAAGCTGAATTTGCCACTAACACAATGCCAGGTTGCAAGACTTAAATCAAAGCTGGACGTCATAGAAATATCAACTACAACTGACGTTAACCTGACATGACTGTTACCACATATGAGCGCGTATACAATGTTGAGAAAATTGGATAGCCAGTACTGCAACCTCAGTTGACATTTCACGGACATTAGGGTCTATGTAAAAGGAGATCTGAGACCTGGCGTGGCTTTGTGGTAGAATACTTCATTACTACGCAGAATGCTGGGGTTAGGTTCTTGCTTGCACCCTGACATTTATTCTTCGCATTGGTGTGGCCAACGCTGCCGATATCAGATTTTTTCTAACACTCCGGAGTTAAAATAACCCATGTGTGTTTTGGGCGATTCTGGGTAGATATGAAGTGTTAATAACATGTGGCATACGCTCGCCTACGGGTATGTGCTCCTCTTTGGCAACAGTAACATCTGGTATAATTTGATTTAACAATAATGGCTTTGGTTTATATCCTAAAAGCATGACATGATCTTTTGAACGTTCGCGACTGGTTACGATAGGGTACACTGTTATGTTTATATCGTTAATCGGGAAATGTCTATAGGAAAAATAATAGCAGTGAACTTATTTTCAAGAAAGATTATAATGATGGCGTGGGATATTATAAATGCAACCAAACTGTCGGCTAATGGCGAAGCTCTTGAGGGCAATAATTTTCTTTGCCACCCATGTTACTTTTCTTTATTGCCATAACAACTCACAAATTTAGAGGGAAATATATTTAGTTTATATATACATATGCAACACCATCTGGAACACCATACGATGTACAAAACATTGAAAACTTACCATTTTTTACAGAAAGCGACATCTGGATAAAGACAGATAACAGCAGCATCACACACCCGTGCTTGATCATCATCGCCATTCTGTTTTATGAAGAGACGAGAAAGAGGTGCCATTTCAAACCCACTTTCGTGAAATGACTTCTCGACATTTGGGTTATATATTTTTCTTGTTGGCACTATTCAGAAGTTTCAACCCGTGCGGCTGGACTAGTGTTCTGAGATGTTACCCGTGCCCCAAGGAGCAAATCAATTGAATCACAACAATTTCGAGCAATGCTCTCCAATGCTATTTACCGTGTGCTTACAGGAGGTTTTCAGAAGCCTAGAATGGGAAAAGTTAGGGATAAAAGTTAATGGAGAGTACCTTAGTAACCTGCGCTTCGCCGATGACATTGCATTGCTGAGTAACTCAGGGGACGAATTGCAACTCATGGTTACGGAGTTAGACAAGGAGAGCAGAAGGGTGGGTCTTAAAATGAATCTGCAGAAAACGAAAGCAATGTACAACAACCTCGGAAAAGAGCAGCGCTTCGAGATAGGTAATAGTGCACTTCAAGTTGTAAAAGACTATGTCTACTTAGGGCAGGTAATAACTGCGGAGCCGAACCACGAGATTGAAGTAACTAGAAGAATAAGAATGGGGTGGAGCACATTTGGCAAGCACTCTCAAATTATGACAGGTAGATTGCCAGTATCCCTCAAGAGGAAGGTATATAACAGCTGTATCTTGCCGGTACTTAGCTACGGAGCAGAAACCTGAGACTTACAAAGAGGGTTCAGCTTAAATTGAGGACGACGCAGCGAGCAATGGAAAGAAAAATGGTAGGTGTAACCTTAAGAGACAAGAAGAGAGCAGAGTGCATTAGGAAACAAACGGGGGTTAAGGATATCATAGCTGAAATCAAGAAGAAATGGACCTGGGCAGGGCATGTAGCGCGTAGACAGGATAACCGCTGGTCGTTAAGGGTAACTGACTGGATTCCCAGAGAAGGCAAGTGGGTTAGGGGGAGACAGAAGGTTAGGTGGGCAGATGAGATTTAGAAGTTTGCGTGTATAAATTGGCAACAGCAAGCACAGGACCGGGTTAACTGGCGGAACATGGGAGAGGCCTTTGTCTTGCAGTGGACGTAGTCAGGCTGATGATGATGATGATGATGATGATGAATTTCGAGCGATGTTTCTACTCCTCCACATAGAGAACAAGAAAGCGCCTGCTTCCGTGATTGTTACTGTCAAGCTCCGCGAGGGTCATCATTCTTGCTTCCTCCATCTTCCCTACAGTGCACGCAGTATGACGTGCATGTTTAGGAGAAGCTGCGAAATAGTATTGGTGGGTTCAGTGTTTCTTAAAGTCACGATGGAGAGTAACGGCAGCCGGCTAGATGGTTTTGTTCACTTGACTGCATAAAGCAACCATGGAGTACCACATGTTCTGGCGCATCGTAAAAGGAAGCATTATATTGTGCCCTTGGTTATAAGAGCCTAAAAACGTTGCCCTGGTCTAGAGGCTATAACTTTTCTATAATATTCAGGGGAAAAATGCAAGGCGTGAGTAATCACAGATCACTTACGCTCAGTCATTTATAAAAAAAACAAGTGACAATAGATGTCTCTAGCTATAAAAAAGCGAGACTTGCTTGCACTTCTCTGCTCAAGGTTTGAGACAGCGAAAGTGGACGATTCCTAATAGTAGTCTGATTCCAAGCTACTTCAGGGCCTTCACTGGGTAATCAGGTTCCTGTTGCTTCTAGGTTGTCGCAAGGCTTTAGCTATAAGTAATGCTAGGTTGCTTCTACGTTTTTCTCGGCACAAGACGGTTCCGGTAAAACCAAAGAGAATCACAGACATGACACGGTTGCCCAAACCACAGGGAAGCAAATCAGTGCTTGAACCAAGCATTCGCATACGTTACAATTTCATAAAAACTAAACTGAGCGCTAACACACGGCTCATTCACGCACACACATACCCAGAGGCCAAACACGCGTAGCACTCAGCGTGTCTGATGCGTGCGTGCGTGTGCGTGTCTGTTAGAGCGCTGAACAGGCCTGATTTTTCGGCCCGAGCCCAGCCTGGACCCGTGGTTCTAAGCCCAGGCCCGGCCCGGGCTCAGCTATACATGACCGACCACAGCCCGAGCCCGGCCCGGGCCCGAGGTTCTAAGCTTGGGCCCAGCCCGGGCCCAGCCGTACTTGACTAACCCCAGCCCGAGCCTGGCCCGGGCCCGAGGTTCCAAGCCCAGGTCCGGCCCAGGCTCAGGTGTTTATTGCTAAACTTGCTAAACTCATGATTACGCCCGGCCCGGACCCACTAGAGAATATTAATTGTTGACGATAACTATTGATGATGCTTCGTGCTTTGCAGCGTGGAATCAGAGGAAAAATTCACTGTGCACATGCGTTGAACTGTTGCTTTGCCCGTGGTGATAAGTCAGTGGTTAAGCTGTCTTGCTGTTAAGTAGTAGGACATAGGTGCGATTACCACGGCCACCGTGGCCGAATTTCGGCGGGGCGAAAAAACAAGAACACCCGTTTACTTATCTAGGTTCACTTTAAAGAACTTCAGGTGGTCGGAATCAATCCGGTCTCCACTACTGCGTGCCTCGAAATCATATCTTGGTTCGGGAGCAACGAATATAGATGAAATGTTTCCTATAAGTCACATGGCAAGTCATTAAAATAGCAGTATAGGGAAAATAAAACATAGCAACAAAATTTATTGAAAAGTGTACAACTAACATGAAAAAGCGGATAGAATAACCCGGGACATTTTCATTGATTTTCTTTTCTAGACTCGCGTTAGAAAAGTTATTTACACAATTTTTTAAGACAATCCTGATCAATAATTTCTTCCAGCAATATAGAAAACGTTAATGTTATATATTGTGAACAGCCACCGAAAGCAGATGAAGTATGTATTTTTCGTATTCTAACGACGTCACGGAAACGTAATCACCATTTACAATATAATTATATAATCAAACCGCTACACACCATGCTTGATGCTATTTCAAGTAAAAGGTTTCGCCATTCTCTGTGAAATAAAGATAGAAATTACGTTTAAAATGACACAAAAAAACTGCACTTGAAAACGGTGCCATAGGAATACGAATGCGAAAAGGGCGGAAAAGGGCAAAAATCTACATATTCTTGTGCAAAAGCAGCAAGTTGTTCAGGCTTTCCAGCTTCGAGCAGGTACTGCTGTTTTGGAGTACGTACCCAGCTGCACTAAAATTGCGTTCGCTGGTGACGCTCGTGGATGAGATGCAAAGTACTTTTTTGCAAGAAATGAAAACCCACGGTATTTTCTACGATGGGCTTTCCACCATTCAAGCAGTTTTGGCGAACGCAGATATACATCGATTACAAAGTCGCGTACTCTGTCATGAACACTTTTCCTCTCCTACTCATCAAGAACGCGGAGATGGTGGAAAGGCGGCCACAAGGACGTTGCCACTTTGTGAAGCTCTCTTATGGGCAGTTTTATTTGAAAAAATTCTAGAGTACTCGACATGAGCTGGCACACTTCTCGTGAGTCTGTAGAATCAGCAGTAAGGTGTTTCTTTAGTTTTGTGTAGTACATCAGTACAAGGGGCAGCGTTACCACTATATCCTGCTCAAGCTTTTCACTGGCCTCTTTGAAGGGCTCCAAGAATTCGGGGACCTCCCTCCACAAAGTCCAATTGACGTCTTCCAACAGCAGATTCTCCTTGAATCTAGGAGGTTCTCTATGGCATCGTACTGACTTAGCATGGACTTGATCATGGCGAGCTTTGAATTCCACCACGTGAATATATCCTTGCACACACCATGTGTTAGCTGGCTGGTGAGCCCACTCTGTTTTGAAAAAGTCACCACAGCTTTCACTTGTTGCACTTGATCCAAAAGGTCGGGAAGTTCAGCTGAGTGAGGTACCTGTCATCAAACGCGTTCCGAAGACCGGCGTTCAGGACGTGCGCACAGCAGTTCATCCTCGCATACGGATGAAGCGCGCTAATTATGCTGGCACCCTAGTCTGTCACGAACACCAACATGCTCAACATGCCTTAATCAATCCTCAACTTAGCACTCCTTCGTAGAATCTCCTTACGGATGTTCTCTCCCGTTTTTCTCTCGGGGGGAAAGTCTCTAGTGAACAGAACAAGGCTCCTTAGTTTCCATTTCAAACTTACGTAATGCGCCGTCGCAGGGATATAGGTAATTTTCTTGTGGTTGGTTCACTTCTCAAGTGTCATCGAGCAGCGATCTTCCTTCATTGCTTACTGAATCTCAGGCATCACCACTCCTCAGAGTTCGTTTGCAACTTCGGACACTCTGCGAGACACCGACGTACGATGCGGAATCACGGTCGTTGCGGATATGATCCCGTACTTGGCACCAATAGCAATCAGTTCGTCGGCAACATTCAGGAATACATCTTCACAAACAACGTCAAATGGCCACATATCTTTAGCGCACCACTTCACGCAAGCAGTCGTCAGATTCCCCTTAACAGTAGATGAAACCTGGGTCTTCCTCTCAGTGAAGAACGAAAAAAAATGGCAGTGGTGTCCCCAGCAGCCTTTTACTTGTGGCAATTCAGATGCAACGTTCCTGGCTTCCAACCATCATATGCAAAGATAGCTTTGTAGCATTTGCATCGCACATGTCCTACTGGTGATAAGGTGTGGACGTCGACAACTTGCAAGAATAGTTTCCAAACCTGGCTTTTCTTAGCTTGCTTGGAGACGAGCTTGTTTCGCAATACAACTGCATTCATAGTGCCACGTGTGGAGGAGGCAAATTACGAACTATAGAACGCCAGTAACGAACACAATAAAAATCATCAGCGCGCTCTGGTGAGCTACGACACAGCATGCAAAGCTTTCTCTTTTTTTTCTCTCTTTTTCAGTCGATGGCGACACGGGTCCCACGCTACACACGAATCAGTTCCCTGCACAAGGTTCCTTATGGGTGGGCCGCCGTCTGCGCATGCTCCGCCTAGCCGGGTGTCGCCTAGCAACGGAGGCCGTCTTTACTATCTTACGCGCTTCTTCCCACGCGTACCTCTTATTTCTACTCACGCATGAGGAGTTATCCAAACTCG